GGGGGACAGAGCGCGGGGAGGCGGCGGTGGAGGAACGCAGCTTGGCAGCGGCGAACGGAGGGTGAGCTCGCGGCATTAAGGTGAATAAGGGGAGATTGGATCAAGGGAGGAGGAAGGATGGTTACATGGGCCCACAAAAAAAGGAGGCGCGGCCCACTACGCTCGCGCTGGGCGCGTGATGAGGCGTGCGACCGGCCAAAGCTTCGGCCGGTGCACCATCTGGAAACGTTTCCCCAAGTTTATGCGGGTGAATGAATGAAAATCTCGTTGCTATCCAATTATGACTTCTTTACTGAAATCTTAGAAGTATTTCATCTTATAAAGATTGATACATAGAGAAGATATCTCCAAAGTATTTTATTGTAAGTTTTAGTTACAAGAATTACTTTGTAATTTCTTGGATCCTACTAGATTCAACGCGTTAAACTTTTATCTTCTGAAAAAAAGAGATCAAAGAGCATCTCATATCTGGTACTCCCTTTGTAACTAAATACTACTCCCTTCGTCTCATAATATAAGAACGTTTTTGGCACTGCACTAGTGTAAAAAACGTTCTTATATTATGAGACAGAGGGAGTATATAAGATATTTTTTACCTAAAAATATAAGATACTTTTGTAGTTTAATTTTTAATAGTACTTTCTACTTTTAGTGACCAAAACGCTTTTATATTTTTTTTACAGAGGAGGTATCTACTGAGAGAAATAGTAGACAGTTCAAACGAAGGACAACAAAACATATAAGCAACCTATAAAAGTAAGAATGAGGATCCGGTAGCTGTCGGGCACGTTGCCCCATTATTTAGGTTATTTCTGATTTTCTTTTTGGAACAAGGTTATTTCTGATGCTCATTATGCTACGATGGTGGGCTAAGCTCTTCTTTTGATAAGATCTCAACATTAGTATAAGCAACGCTAATTACCAAGAGCCGGCGCCGGTGTGTGAGCGCCAGGGAACGGCTGCCTGTTCCAGCGGCTCTTCTTGTTATTCAGCATTATTTCTGTTAGAAAACTTGGGTCTTAGATGGAACAAGTCATTGGTCTATTATAGACCAAATCCCTTCACTTAACGTTAAAGTGGTCACTTAGAGCATTACTAATAGAACCCTCAAACCCTCAATTCCTTAAAGTAGTTTTAAGGGTTAAGAAGTGCTATTTTTTGACACTTTTAAGGGTTGAAAACAAGGGCAAATACTAGAACCCTCAAACCCAACCCTTAAACTGCTTTAAGGATTGGATTTGAGGGTTCTAGTCTTTGCCTCAACCGCAACCTTTAAATCTATCATTTGACTTCTCACAATTTATGACAACAAGAACACAATCAACTTCCAAACAAACTACTAAATGACAATCATTGATGCATGGTTTAATAGTTTACATCACAAAATCATCATCTTCCTCCTCTCATCGGCATCATCACCAAAAAATTGCACCTCGGCGCCATCTCCTAGACCACATGCGGGCTCCATCAAGCATCTCCATGGGCACCGGTGGAGTCGTACACACCGCCATCGCCACAACTACTCATCGGAGTGTCACCTCGAAAAGTAGAGGACGCAACACAGAACATCCTCTTCCTCTCCGCGATGTCCTTCTTGTAGTCCTTCCACCATTGCAACTGGTCTTTATCCATGTCCTTTTTGAACATCATCATGTGCTCTTTCTCTTCCACCATGAGTTCTTTCCATACCTTTGCCTCTTTGAGCTTGATCATCCTCTCCTCCAACTCGGCCTTGCGCTTTGTGATGGGGTTATGTACCTAGGGTAGGGTCATGGACCTGTTCCAAGTAACTTACCCTAGGACGTCCCTAGAAGAGGTCACC